AAGTGGGACTGAAGCATGGGGTGTAGCTTCTTAGCCTGCACTAGACGGGAGTACAGTGCTTTGCCGGGGGGGGGGGTTGGAATTGGTTCCTCCTGGCCGAGGCTGACAGTTCAGTCAGTCCAGGAGATTCTCCCTGCACGGTCCTTTCCAACTGAGGCAGACACGCACACCCCACACCCTGCCCTTCTCCTCCCCTGCAAGCACGGCAGGCCCAGAATCCTTTTAGTACCTTAGCCTGCACTAGACGGGAGTACAGTGCTTTGCCGGGGGGGGGGGTTGGAATTGGTTCCTCCTGGCCGAGGCTGACAGTTCAGTCAGTCCAGGAGATTCTCCCTGCACGGTCCTTTCCAACTGAGGCAGACACGCACACCCCACACCCTGCCCTTCTCCTCCCCTGCAAGCACGGCAGGCCCAGAATCCTTTTAGTACTGGTGCCAGTCATTCTAGGATTGTGTGAGGTGATCCAGTGGAAGAGAGTGACTTTGAGCATGCACAGAGTGCCTTTCTCAAGGAGGAGAAACATCTCCAGGTCTGATGCAGGAGCAGGGGATCCTTTTATTAGACCACTATAAACACTAAACACTCAGCAGGTTTTCATGGGCCCAATCCACTTCTTCAGGCCATGCAGCGATATGGTTTGGATAGGGCAGAAAAATTGCAAAAGAGAACCAGACGTTCATGGCCAGGCTTGCTTCGGAGAAGTACCTTAGGAAAAAACACAGGCTGCATTTTTGGAATGCTCCTTCATAACTTCTGGGATTCTGGTTTATAATTTTTTGGTGCCATCCACAAGACATCGGTGCATGGCCTGAAGAAGAGGACTTGGCTCATGAAAGCTCACTGAGCGTTTGGTTTTACCAGTACAATTTTTAAAAAAGGCACGACCATCTCCTCCATCTGTCTTGTGGAAAGCCTGCAGGGCTTCCCTTGGTTTTTTTTTGGGGGGGGGCAGTTTCCAGGCCAGCCGAGGTGACTGCCTGAAGGACCTTCCTTTGGGACGTCCCGTCCTTTGCTGGCCCAGCCGGTCGGGTGGCACCCTTCAAGCGGGCAGGCGGGCGCAGGCAGCTCAGCCGACTGGCAGGATAGGGGCGGGGGTGTTTGTGTGCCTGTGTGTGTGTGTACACATGTGTGCGCCCCCTCACGCACAAGGGAGGAGGTGTGGCTAAGAAGCGGTTTCACAACTTTGGCACTTTGAGGCTTGTTTGAAGAGAGTAGAAGGCGGTTGCTGAGCAGGCGCCTGGAACAAAGGAGGTGCCCCCCCCGTCGCCGTCCGCCCGCCGTCCGTCCGTCCGTCCGCGGTTGCTGTGGC